ACAACAGTTTATAGACCTTTCTTGTGACGAATTGCGAATGTTCTAACTTGTTTCAATTGCTAATAGCCTGTTCTAAATTAGGAAATTGGGCTTGCATCAATCTATTTTGCATGAAGAGTTATATTCTACAATTATGGAAGTGGACAAGGATCTCGAGCTCGAGTACTTGACTCGAGCTCGATCATATTCGTAAGAAAATTGAATCGATCTCGAGTTTTCGAGCAATTTTTCGAGTTCGAGTCCGAACTCTATTTCTGCTACTCGCTCGAGCTCGAGCAATATATCTCTGCTGTCAAGTCGAGCTTGAGTATAGCGATACTCGCGCTTGACTCGACTCGATTCGATTACAGCCCTATTTCAGATCCACAACAGCAAACATTATCTTGTTTAATTAAGAAAAACTATAATGTGGCTCATTCATCATAGAAGTGATGAATCGTAATTGACGATGGCGGGGATTATTGAAATTGAGCTTTCGTTCAAGCATTGATTGTGAAACGAGGAGTCCTTGGTGTCGTAAAATCCAAGTGTAGGAGAAGAATGAAAGCAGGAGTACTGTTGAGTCAAGTCAAGTTCGAGTAACACCATACTCGTGTTCGAACTCGACGGGTATGAGTGTTACTTGAGTTTGATAGAGTCAAGGGGTTTAAATTTGAGTTCGATTCGAGGAAGTTGCAAAAGTATTTGAGCTCAACTTGATAAGGTTCGCAAACAATGACGAACTTTATTGAGTTCAAACACTAAATTTGAACAATGTCAAGCTTGTATTTGTTATCTCATGCATATGTGTATTTAGTTAATGCAATTGCCAGTAGATTTTGTTGAACTTTCGAGTACCTATGTTTAAACTCAAAATCGACTTGATAGTACTTTTAAGTAGCTCGATCTCGAGCAAAATGAGCTCGAATCGAGACATTGATCAAATAGTTTACGAGCTCGAGTCGAGCTACCCGATCCTACATCACCGAAAGGGCTGAGGGACTCGCCTGAGCACAAACATTAGGACGTGTCAAACACTAGTGTTTAGCAGCTATGTTGGGGGTTTAAGGAATCAGAGTAAAGCATGGTACAGATGTACGTCAGTTGCCATGGGTTGCTCCTAATCACGTTCTGTATATTAACGTCACAAATTCCACGAATAGATTTGTTAAAATTCACTTTTGGATAGTGGGTTATTTTCCCAAATATATTTGCTTACATCATCATTACAATTTTCAATACAGCTTTTTATCTTCCCAATTACCTTTTTATCTCACATACATCACATCACAAAAAGTGCTACAGTAAAAATATCTCAAATAACCCACTATCCAAACACACTACCACGAACTAAAACAAAAAAATTAATCAATTTGGATCTTGTTGAGGCATTACACCAAACAAGAGAATAATTATTAAGTTTCCTATCAAAAAATGTAATTAAAACGTAGGAGACCTACATAAATAGTAATTGAGTGTTATAATTCTATCACTCCCTCCTCCTATTTTGGTAGGTTTAGTTTTTTTTTTCATATAATTTAAAAAAAGCTAGTTAGTTTTGTTGGAAGAATAAATCTAGTTTACTATCTTCCTAAAATACCCTTGTATCAAATGGAGTATGATTAATTAGTTTTATATTAAATAATTTAAGTTATAATAAAAAACAATCTACATTAAATAAGATAAGGGCATTTTAGAGGTGTTATAAATTAACTATATTTTTCAATTGAAAAATAGACTATAATTTGAAATCGATGAAAAAGGAAAACAAACGTATCAAAATGAGACTGGGAGTTTAAAATTATATAAATAAATAACAATAAAATATAACTTATTCAAATAGTGCTACCATTGAACAAAGAAGCGGTTGCCGAAAACCGTCTGTGATGCCAGATGAACGTGAGTATCAGTAAAAACATGCAGCAGTAAAAACTAAAAAGACGTATACTGGTACTAATACTACTGTGAGAAAAGAGCGGCAGGGAAGTGTGACTCAGGGCTAGCATCCTACTTGGAGTTAATAATGCAGGCGAATGGGGCAGAGAGAGAGAGAGAGATCAGAGATGAGATGTCGCACAATTGCAGACTAGGCAGACTCCCTCCATCCATACAGATTTGATTCCAGAGAGAGCCTTGGCATTCGATACTTTTGTCGGGAGTCGGAAACAGTGACGTGTTTCCATTACCAGCCCCTCGCTTCCCCGCCCCACCTTCTTCCTTTGCTCCTTTGCCCATTGTCCAAATTAATACCATTTGCTTGCTTGGTTTCCCCCCTCAGGGCCTCGTGCGCACGTTACCCCACACTCACTTCCTGCAGTCCCCCATCTCTTGCATTCTTTTTCTTTTTTCCATTTCGAGATGGAGATGGAGATAGGGATTTGGCCGATTTGTGTCGAGCGAGAGTGCGAGCGTGTGTGGGGCGCTCGCGCGCGGTACTCCTGACTCCTGCCGCAACCTTTTACCAAATACCAAGTGGTGACTTAGGACCATGGGTTTTAGTACGCTGCTCTTCTCCCATTCTTCTGCAACCAAAGAAAACCCAATCATATTATGCCACCTGTCTCCCGGAAAGACTGACGTTGACGTGTCTGGTCAAACCTTCGTTCCAATTTGAAAATTCCTTCTAACCTGTAAATTATTTGGATAATAATAATAATAACAGGAGCCCTTGCTTTAGAAAACAGAGGGGAAAGGAAGAAAGGAAGGGGGATTTAAATGTTTCTTGAACCTTTTTTGCTAAAGAAGAAATACATTTATTATTTTTATTTTTTGGTTCAAGAAGACTCCAAATCCAACCATTTGACTCTAAGCGCTCCTTAAGTGGCTGTGTCCTCCAATCAATTCAATCCTACCTAAGTCCTTTTCTGAGTGATGAAAAGGACCAATAAGGTAAAAGACTATCTGAGTGATGAACCGGTGAATTATTTACTCTTCTTAGTGCTGGACTACAGTGTCAAGTTTTGTGATAGACTAGTGAGTTGTTAACTTTTTCGCGTTAGATCAAGGAACAATTTTTTTGTGGTTCGGTTGGAGTAATGGATATGTACTACCTATCAATTTTTTACAATCATATAGTTTGGATATCATTTCATTTGTAAATTTTTTTTTTTGCCTGCATCATATGTATTAATTTTTTAAATATTTTTTTATATTTTTAAACACTTTTTTATCTTACATATATCATATAATAAAAAGTACTATAGTGTTGTTTCAAATAATCTCCTTTCTCACAAATAGAATTGATGTCATTTTCTATTTTTCGTCTTAATCTAGATGTCGTGAAAATAATCTACTCGGAATGAAGCTACAAATCACTCAATCGAAAAGAAACCGTATTTAATGAAACTCAATTGTTTATTCACAACCTTCCGGTGTTGTGTATAGCTTTTCGAAGCTTGTAATTAAGATTTTTTTTTTAGTATTTACTAGCATTCATTTCGACATCAAATGCTTTTATCTCCTGTCCAAACACACTTATTATTAAGTTAGAACGCTATAACTTAAGTGCACTAAGTTAAAATTAGAAGGAAAGATTTATGTCCATAATTAAAAATAATACCATCAATTAAAAAAATATTGAAAACAAGGTCGAACTTTAGATGTCTTGAACGTGTGTGTATATATACACACATCGAGGTGATCATGATCCAAACACACTTATTATTATCGTGGTGCATGTTAAGTTAGTACACTATAACTTAAGTGCAATTTGCACTTCGTTAAAATTAGAAAGTAAGATTTACGTCCTTAATTAAAAATAATACCCATCAATTAAAAAAATATTGAAAACAAGGTCAAACTTTAGATGTCTTGTATGTGTGTGTGTATATATATATACACATCGAGGTGATCATGAGGTTCCGAAGAGAATATAAATTGCAATCCACATCCACATTATCTTTATACAATGCCATCAAATAAATGGGATAATATTAGAAACCTCCATTGAGATTTCTCTTAATATCATTTAGTACTTTTAAAATTTTAAAAATATCATTTATTTCTCTTACTTTTGTTACACTAATATTTAAAAACTCTAAACTACCCATTTACTTGCTAAATAAAAATATTCCTAAACCACTTTGTTTAATTCAAGAAAGCTATCACTTAAAAAATAATCTCCTAACGGTATCGCATCACAATACTATAACCCATGAAAATATAAATATGAAAAATAAAAAGATATTTGTAAAGAAGTATACTTGTGCTAATTTAACTCTATATGCTCAAAATCAAATTCTTATAAACATTTATATTTTTTCCAACTTCTTCTGAACCAATGTCCAAACATTTAAATTGTACCAATAATTATAATAATCAACTCAAAATAAGCAAATAAATCATATCTTACTCTATCACAATCATAAAAATAAAAAATAAACAAATATCAAATTATTATAATTTATCAATAATATATTGCATAGTCATCCAAAAAATGAGTAGGAGAGAATGTTGGAGAAAAAAAAAGAAAAGAAAGTGACTTTTATTTAATTTTTTAATTTTGAGATATATTTATTGGATATGTGAATTATGTATCAAATAAGGGTTAATATAGACTTTTTACAATTTCGAGGGGAGATAAGTGATGTTTTTAAAATTTTAGGAGTGTCAAGTAATATTAGGAGAAAGCTCAAATGAGATTTTTGATATTATTTTGAATTGTGGTTTTTCACAAAATTTTTTTTTTTTTTACATTTTCTTCGTAAACACAATTTTTTAATCAACTTTTTACCTCACATACATTAAATCTCTATATTACATTTTTTTCTAAAAAAAACTCTTAAAAATAAGAATCCAAAAATAACATAACAATTGAGTGAAATCCCAAATTTTCAACTGACAAAGTGATAATTCGGTAATATTCGGGGGTGGTGCAAATTTGTAATTTACGGTCAAAGAGCCTGCGTTAGAACCGAGCGCAGGGAATTGGAACTTGAGCCCTCGTCAAACTTGACGGTCCAAAAACCGTTTATTGCGGAGGGGACAGCAAGAAAACCACTCACTGCAAAACCGCCAAAAAAGGGTGAGGTGCGGTGGGGTGTGGATAGAGTATTTAAGATACTACTATTAGAGAGGAGGCCGGAAACGGGTAGTATTGTACAACAGAGAGAGTGATATTTGTCAAGCTACTTATACGAGTCCCAATACGGTATTCAGCCGCTTAACGCACCAGCATCACTCTCTGCAAACAGGTACAACCACGGGGCAGAACGGGAGCAAGGCAGCAGAAGAAGCTAACCCCCTCAAGCATCATCAGATCAGATAGACCGACCCAGATAGATACCAAACCTTTACTAGTACTTCTAGTACTACCAGTACCACATTATTAGTCATAACAGCTAAGGAAAGCTTAGGAAAGGGAAAGGTAACCTCAGTACCAAAAACCTAAGCCTAACGTACGTGCCAACTGAGGTGCTCCTAATTCCTAAGACTCTTCCCTTCTTTCTTGCTTTCTTTCTCTCTTTCAGCTCTTCTTCAGAACAACTCAGAATTCAGAAGCAAAAGTTGCTAGCGCTCAGTACCATGTACACACCCAAACACCATATACTACTTATTAGTTCAGTACTTATACTGTTAATCTATTCTAGGTGCGTGGTTTCTTTCAACTTTTTAAACTGTAGCTTAATGCTAAGTGTTTGACACTTTCACAGTCTATTCTTGAGCTGCCGGTGGAGGCAACAAATTCCTCTTTTGTTTAGATCTCCGCTTGCGTTCTTGAGTTTTTGGCAGCTGGGCTTTGTGGGTATTTTGTGAGAAGCTACGGCAGATCTGGGTTTTCCTATTGGAATTGAGAGTTGAGGTTAAGATATTGTTGGATAGGGTTTATCCTAGAAAGCGAAGCAAAGAAAGAGAGGTATTGAGTGAGGGTGAGAACTGAGAATTGAGGAAGAAGGCAAAATAGTATTGGGTAGCTGGTTGTGGTTGGTTGGGGCCGGGTGATTTTCCGTTTTTGGGTACAAGAAGTTTGGTCCAACATACGCTTTTGGAGTTTCTCTGTTGGATTTAGGGGTGTATTTATTAGATCTCGTATTTGCACATCCAAAAAAAAAAAAAAAGCAAGGCAAAGAAGAAACCATTTGCTATTTGCTATTTTTCATTTCCACTAGTAGACCAATGTAACGGATGCGGCCAATCCAAAAAGCAATTTTGGCTGTTTGTTTGTTGATACATTGTGGAAGAGAACAAGAAGGTCAAGCAAGTGTTAGCAGCTAGCTTAGCTCAGTTCCGTTTCTTGATAAAGAAAAAAGCGTTATCTTGGGCTCCGACCACATTCTTGAATAGTTAGAAAATCTTTCTCCCTGAAGAACGAAGCATGGCGAACAGGTGGTGGGCTGGAAACGTGGCTATGAATCCGTTAGTATCACCATCGACTCCATCTCCTTCTCTTCACCTAAGAAACAGTGCTACTGCAGAAGATGAGAATGCTGCTGGGCTAAACAGGCTTGGACAGCAAAGGAGAGACCAAGACTTCTTGGATAACACTACAACAACCACCACCACCACCACCAATACCACTGCCACTAACAGCAGCGGAAGCAACAATAACCCTGATGAAGAAGATAGCCGGGAAAATGAGCCCGAAGCTGAGGAAAATCCCGGAGCACTTGAAATCTCTGAGCCGGGTAGCGGCGGTGGAAGTTCTGGAAGGCGACCTAGAGGCAGACCACCCGGCTCGAAAAACAAGCCAAAGCCGCCCATTGTGATAACAAAAGAAAGTCCTAATGCTCTCCGAAGCCATGTGTTGGAAATAAGCAGTGGGAATGATGTTGCTGAGTGCATTGCTGCCTATGCCCAACGGCGCCATCGGGGCGTCTCGGTTTTGAGTGGAAGTGGTATTGTGACGAATGTGACTCTGCGGCAACCGGCTGCACCTGGTGGGGTGATAACCCTTCACGGGAGATTCGAGATATTGTCTTTATCAGGTGCATTCTTGCCTGCTCCTTCCCCTCCTGGAGCTACTGGTTTGACAGTGTACTTAGCGGGCGGTCAAGGGCAAGTTGTTGGTGGAACAGTTGTTGGTCCCTTGATGGCATCTGGGCCGGTAATGGTTATAGCTGCAACGTTTACAAATGCAACTTATGAGAGGTTACCTCTGGAGGAGGAACCAGCCGGTGAAGGGATTCAATTGCAGGCAGCATCAGGAGTTAATACTGGAACTATCACTGGTGCTTCTTCAGCTTCTCAATCTCATGGTATGGCTGATCCTGCATCCTCTATGCCTTTATTCAATCTACCACCTAATATGCTTCCCAATGGCCAAATGGGTCACGAGGTCTTTTGGACTCCTCCTCCTCGCCCCCCACCATCTTATTAAGGTCAAATGAAAAGTGGTAGATGAACTATACTTACTAGTCACTTGTTTGTTCTCGAGCTCTAGGTCTCGTAAACTTAGGAAGTAGTAGCAAGGTTAGTTTTTACTTGACCCTTTTGTATTCCTTGTGAATCGCATTTTCCAATTGGATATTTAGGTTGATGGATGCTTTTGTATTTAATGAATGTAACTTTTGTTTTTATAAGTTCCATTCTCTTCTTTGAGCAATAACTATTTAATTCATCTTTTCCTTTAGTGAATGGCTTATTCAGGGGTTAGACAGGTGGTGGAGATGCTGGCATAGAAATGTTGTCCATGAAATATGGTAACGTAAGTATGTTACTAATCTTTCACAAGTACTTCGAAGAAGTACTACTCTTCTTTAATTCGAATCTTTTAATAAAAACAATGATTTCTTCAATAAAATAGCTGGTGTAGTTGAATGCTTGATAACTTTATTGTAACTTTACTGTGTTTGTCACCGTGTGTGTGTGTGTGAGAGAGAGATGGTTTAGTTCATCTGCATTCTTCATGAATCTGTCATTTCTCAACTCAATTGGCTGGAAAAGGTGGTTCCTTTTAGGTTGCATGCTTTAACATAATTGAGCTTAGGATTGATCTTAATTTTATTTTTTTTTTCTGCCAACTTGGTTCAGAAATTTTGTTTGATTTCATCTCTACCGTCTCCAAATTGAGCATCACTAAATGGGAAAATTTTAGGACCTGTTAACTATTCCAAGCAATTAACTCATGTTCATGTACCATGTTTATCAAGGATGATATTAAGAAACAAATGTTGGAGTATTGTGTTTGACAATTTTCTTTGATATGTCAAAAACCTCATAAACAAGTTTGTCTAGTTAGTGTGTGAGTTAATTTGCCAGTGCTATTGAGTGTGTTTGTGCACTCGTTTAGAATGGGTGGTTTCTCAATTACAATCAATTAGCCCTATAATTATGTGCGTTTATTACATGAAATATGGTTGGCTACAAGTGTTCATTAATTGTGTGCATGGGTTTCTCTTTTAATTTTTTTGTTGTTGTGAGTGTTGGGGGGGGGTGTTGAGGGGGGAGTGGAGTAAATTAGGTTAAAATGTTCCTTTATTTGTTCTCACACAGCAAACAATCTAATAGTGTAATAGTTCTTATACATCATCTTGCCATTTCTTCTTTTTTCCATTTTTAGGTAAGCAACCACAATTGCAATTCAGACGCTTCATACACGTCCGTCTAGCTTTAACCTAGTGCAGATTATATGTCTACTTGTTCTTGGTTTTCCATTAACTTTCGAAAACAAAAACTTAGACCATCAAATGATAAAATTCCATATAATACGAATCCACAGTGGCAAAAGGGGTAAAAAAAGGAGTTGAGCTTGGCTAATTAGTATTAGCAATTAAAGTGTTGGGTACAAAGAATAGGAAACATTTTGATTTTGCTGCAGTAGTGGAATATGTCTATGTAATCCGCTTAGTAGTAGGATCAAGGTTGTCTTCTCTTGCATAAACTCAAAGTCTATGCTTCCATTGAGCTAGCAATTGCTGACTTGAGGTTGAAAATGATTGTTGTATGCTTGGTGCAAAAGATGGGGAGGAGGACATTTTTTTTTTTTTTTTTTTTAAATTGAGGTTTATGTATAGAGATGATTGTAGCTTCTAGGATGCTGGAATACAAAATAGTTGTTCATGGAAGTGTATGCTTTGGTGGCTTCTTTCCTAGTGTTCTTCCTAATCATATGGTTCACCTATGTTGAACTCAGTGCTGGCTTATGGATCTCATATATCCAAATGAAGCACCAACATTCTTAAACTTGAAGCGTAACTTTCCCAATGTTGTTAACATTGACTCTCAACTTGATAAATACTTGCTTGACACCTATAGTGCTAAGTGTCTAGTATCTCTTGTCTAATACGTAATAATTCACCATGTGATTTAATATCACAATGTACTCCTCTTTGTATAGGGAGAAAATCATAACATAATCAACTAAAATATAACTCATTTCAGATAAAAGTCAATTATTCACGGACATGAACTTTAGGTACTATTTTTTTCTTGCAAAGTCTATACATCAATGCTGCAGCATACTTGTTGGCATGAACAGACAGTTTTCTTTGTTTGTGTGTACTCTGTTGAATAGGAGATGCGTGAAGGAGGGCATACCATGCAGGTTGCACATTACATATATGTATGTGTTTGAATATATGTGCACGCACTCACTAGCATATGCATGTCTTAGAGTACATTCTGAGCATGTTTAGTGTATTAGCATACCCCTTATCCACAAATACATAATTCTTGGACCCTTCTTTATATGTTTGTGTCTGGGCAGCAAATAAGTTTGAAAGAGGTCACGTTCTTAGCAACATTTCGTCTTATCTAGGTTGCAATATTTCATTGGTTGCTGTGTCCTCCTATTTCATTGAGTTTCCTCCCATCTTAATAGTGATAGCATGTGTGTCATTCTTGACGTCATGACTACTCTACAATCGAATCAAGTTGTTCACAAGCCGGCTCGGTTAAAGCGACTTGAACTTAGTCAACATTGAGTTCAAGTCAAATTCGAGTCGACCAAGTCATCGAACTCGAGCCAAGCATAGAGAAACTTAGCTTGTCGACTCGTGAGCTGGCTCGAATACATATATATTATTTTAATAATGAAATTACATGTATATCTCTAATATTTTATTATTTATTAAGAAAAATAATTATTTTATTCATTTTTAAAAATAATTATTATTTTTTTATTTTTTAAAACTTGAGCAGGCTCGAACTTGAGCTCAACTAGACTTGAATTTAAGGTCAAACTCGAGTTTTACATTGAAATGTCATCAATTCGAGTTCGATCTTGGTAAATTTGAGTCGAACTTGACTCAATTAGATTAAAACTCGACTCATTTACAACCCTAATCATGATGCTTCTTTTCTAATAATACTTTAAAGGAGACATATATATATATATTTTTTTGTTGATACGATAGATTATCCTACACTAGGGGGGAAGGGGAGGATCTGAAGAGGTCCCAGGGTAATCCAGAGAGGAGTGAACCACCATTGAATCAGACGGGTGCACTATGCATCCGCTTGGATTTTTTGAGCAGAACCACTTTAATGTGGCAAATTGATAGGAGACCCACCCCACCAAGCTTTAATGCATTGGTGGTGGTCATTAGCCCAAAGGACACATATTATTCAATTCACGTGATTTATGCCCGTACCAAGACCCCAAAAAGGAGAAAAGGAAAAAAAAAAAAAAAACTTGATAGAGAGGAGTCACAACCATCATCTGTATAGGTTCACAGAAAGTGTGGTAATTACTATCCATGCCACATAGAAGTATAGACAGGGAAATTTTTTAGCTATGTATAAAATATTTTTGTCTTAGCAGTTTTTTATGTCCTCCAGCCCTCTAGTGTAGCAGATAAAGTACCAAAGTGACCAGATTTAGATATACGTTCTCTTATGGCTTTATGCAAACAAAGAACCAATACTTCAGATTACTTGGAAACTTTTGGCTTATAAGGTGAGCAAAATGGTGGCTCTTTACAAGTAATCAGCGCTAATGACACTTTACGAGTAATCAGCCCTAGTTACTGCTCTAGAAAACCTTTTGAAGGTTAAAATTCCAGAATTATTTTTATTTTTTGTGTGTTTGTCTGGGGGGTGGTCAAATATTGTGCCTTGTGCAAATAAATTTTGTGATCAACTTGCATGTTCTTTGATTTGATACAGTCTAAAGTACAAAGCAAAGCTGCTTGGAGTTTGGATCGGGAAACTTGTGTTTACAGCTTGTACGCATGGATGCTATTCGGGGGCATGGTATTAAGATTCCTCTGTTGGTATTTAGTGGCATATAAAAACTATCTAATAGTTGGTTATCCATGTAAATTTTCTTTTAGAAAGTGTAAATTTTCATCAATGATTCTCCTTATTCCTCTAAAATGACTGGGAACTTCTGATTCTGAGTATGTATTACATTTTGTCTAGAGTTAATAAGATGAGACTTGAAAGAAAAAGAGAAAGAAAAGGAAAAAGAGAAGATTAAAGAGACAGCTTGTTTTCTCTTAGAATGCATGCTAGATTCTCTTCAGCTTATTGTTTACCTTATCTGTTCCGCAGGATTTACTTTGAGGGAAAACTCGAATTGGCATGAGCATCCTATCTTTGAATTTCTCCTACTGTTTCATCCATAATTTGTTTAGGTTGAACACTGATTTTTCTGTGTCCGTGAAACTGTTGCTGCTGTGAACTTCTCAGAACGTCATTAAAATATCTGAATCAATTAGCAGAACATAAAAATATGAAGTGGGATATCAGCAGCAAGATAGATTTTTTAGTTAATCTTGATTGAGTTTCCTGTTTCAGAACTGCTGAGAACCGTGGTCTGCCACTCAATTTTCCAGGCAAGCTTAGATGTGTCTGTTGGAATATGCTTATATTCCTTTTTCCTAGTGTTAAAAGAAGAAAATGTATTCACACATTTCAGGCTTATATACTTCAGGTGCTCTATGACCTTTTCTTTTCTTCACGGGGTGTTGCATGTTTTGTAGGGACAGTAATTTGTAAGCTGCTATAAAATGATTTTGCTTGTGCATTGTATCCATAAGTTTTGTTATTCAGTGTCACCAACTGCGTTGCATCATCAAGTCTAGGGTTTTCTTGATCTAATTCTTGTTGGTAAACATTTCATTTTCATAATCTCTAATGGCCATGATTTCAAGATGTTAGCTAGTGGTTAAATGTCTGCATGGACCCATTAACATGTTGTCATATGTGTGATCTAACCAGTTTAGGATCCATGCTGGGTTGCATGCTTGTAGAATTCACACTTTCCCTTGTCGGAGGTTTATGCTGCCGGACTGGATCGGTTAACCCCTACTTTGACAAATATTTTAGATCATTTTTGTAGGTTGAACAACATTGTAGGGCACAGCGTATGATTCCATTCGGGGACCAGGCTCTTTGTCCGTGTGCGCTGGCTTAACATGAATTGCTAGCTCCGAAGACCGCACCAAAGAAAAGGAAAATGGCGACAGTCATCATTTGCAGATGCAATTTCTCTGTGGCGTAAGCACCAAAGATGTCGTAATTAGTCGTGGATAGTTTCTTGAAAGGGAGAGATAGAATGCCAAGACGCTAGATGCGTGTTCTTGGTTTGGTACCTTTGTTTCTAGCCACGGTAGATGAGAGGTGGTTGTGGATTCTCTATGTCCTCCGTCTTCTCTATTCTGACCTAACAATAGGTCAAATGTTGAATTAGGCTCAATATCCCTATCTACCATTTGAAATCGGTGATTGTATTGGTGCAAATTAGCTCAACTCCACGTCAGTTATGAAGACTTTGTCATCGGTGATGGTCGGCTATTGGCTATTATCTCCAGCAGCCATTGCAGTGGCTCAAGATAACGTTGCTGTCACCGTGGTTATAGAACTATGGTCATGGGGAGCCATTTGCGTGATCGAAGAAGCCATTTCAATTATTTGTCGCTGAAAATCTCAACAGTTTTCCTTTCTTCCAATTGCCAGGACAGAGCAGAGCGTAAGCAAGATGATTTGGTTAAAGGTCCTTAAACATTTGTTTGGATGGTAGATTATTTGTAAAATTTTATTTATTTCATCATTAATATATTTTGTGATCACATTTTTGTCTCATGTATATCACATTAAAAAAGTGTTATTGTATTTATTTTTTTAATATATTATCCCAAATAATCTACCATAAAGAAATCGCCAACTTCCCTGGCCCCCCTCCCCTTTTTTTTTAAACATATAGTTGAAATTTATTGTTTGGTTTTATATCTAATTTTAAACATATAGTTGAAATTTATTGTTTGGTTTTATATCTAAAATAAAATGGTCAAAATTGTTAGCTTGGGAAAAGGCAAAAGGGTGGATCGAGATTATAAAAAATGATGGAATTAGGTAAAGGTAAAAATCACCTTAGTTTTCTTGTCGAAAACAACTAATCACTCCCTTTGCAACCTTTTGGGCTTCGGACATCAAAAAATGGTAAGCTATGTAATTGTCCTTCTTTCCCACCACTCCATCACCAAATTTTGGAAATATTTTTAGCAAGCAACCATTCATTGGACTTTGACCGAAATCCTAACCCAAAAATTTGGGACTATACAAAGCAAACAACAGGGATCTAAAGGCGTGTTCTTGACAACACAATCTATTCTACCCTTCTCCTTGCCCTCTTTTATCACGAGTGCTTTAGAGTCCTTTGCCTTAAATGCTACAGATTTGACCATAACTGGCCCCCAATTGAGAATTTATTCACCATCAAAAACTTGAAAGCAACATTGAAGAGAAATTTGCCATGGAATATAGATCTTTTCACAAGTAGAAATCAAAATCATAATAGGATGATGACATATCCAAAGGGGTGGTGTGATCGTGTGTGGCAAAATTTTGTGTACAAAGATTCTAGATTCTTGAATTATATAATTCATGAGAGTTTCCATATAAAATGCATATACGTTGATGATTGAGGTTCACCCGGGAGAGTCATAGTAGGACTATAGGCCGTACTGTTAGGCCCAAAATTGTGTCGTGGTAGGAGGAGGGCTCTACTATTTAATTTAACGTGACATGGGGCGTCAGTTTAAGGTGCTGCAATACTCTGGCCATAGGCATTGCTCATATATAGATTGCGTAAATTCCTGAAAGAGTGGCTCCGATAAGTTCGAGTTGGAAGAAGAGAGCTGGGAAATAGCATCCTCCCATCCATTTCCCGGAGGGAACTGTACCATCATTTGGCTGTCATCACAAGCTTTAACTTCTGTGTATGTAATTGGGTCCAGTTCCATCTGTTGTTGATTTATGAAATTCGCTAGATTCATGTACTGATCACACCCAAAGGCTATCTCAGGATTTGAGTAGTCTGCGACATTATAGCTTTCACAGCTAGACGTGACATCCACTGCTAGACTAGCCATTTGAGTCTCAATCATTTCGATCTCCTCTTTCAGGCAGGCCACCTGAATGATGTAAAATCTTATTAATTTAGGTATCCATCCATAAAGAGGTATAATCTATTGGCCTCTATTAATCAGTACGAGTTAAAAAATGAATGTGCATAAAAAGTACAACAACCTGCTGTTCGAGCGCAAAGATGTGAGCAACACAACCATATATGGGATCCTGCATTCTGGCCAGGGCTTCATAGGATATGGTTATAGCAGCTTCAGCGCGGTTTTGAACTGGAAGATTTAGCAATAACTTGGAGACGTTGCTAGCTCCAAACACCCTATGCACTGCTTCAAAATGACTAGCTGCTTGTTCGTAACCGAAATAAGGAGCAAACACACATTCTATTGTGCACCTTCTTCTCAAGAACTTGCATGCTCCACAAGAAGAGCCCATTCCCGTCATTGTCGTAAGCTTTTCTATCTGTATTTTTCTTTTTCTTTTTTCAGCTTTCAAATGGTTTTGATTAACTCGATGCAGGGGTGAGCTGAAAGCTTTATAATCACAGCCCAATAGGGTTATACACGTTTGTTTGATTATGGCTAAGAGACATTCCAGACTTTACCTGAAAAGTAATTTCTTTTAGGTCTCCTTTGTGGGCAGCATTTTCATTCGCAAAATGGGTAAACTTTCCTGATCTGTGTCTTTAATTAAAGTGGCTTATCCAGTTAATCTCGAAGAATTTGACAGTGTGATGCCATATTTATATGTTTAACCTCTGTAAGTGTGAAATGATTGCCAATTAGTTGTCCTAATTAATACTAATGTATCTCAGACAAAGTACAAGAACCCCTTTATTCTACAATAATGACTTGGTTCGACAATGCTTGCTCGAAAGTAGAAAAAGGGTGGACAAGATTTTGGAGTATTATGTCGTAGAAGACTAATCATGAACTAGGTGAAGAACTTTTCTCCAATCTTTTCATCCATCCAGCTTGACATATCATATCTTCCCTCATTCTTTTTCTTGAGAATCCTTCTCAAAATTTAGCTCGCTCAAGCGAATCTGATATTCTGACAGTATTAGTTTGTTATCTTTTTTCTGGGCTCAAGTCTTTCAGCTTGTATATATATTTCATATGGCCTGCATGATTCATTGAGGAATCGTTTTAGACGCATGTAGATATTTCTTTTTTCTGCATCATCATGCATATATATATAGTACTTTAATTGCTAGTAAATGGTTCCCTTGGTTGGCTGTTTGCCACTCAAGCGATGTGTATCATGGGTCGGTGGTCATTGGAATGACGGCCACCTACTCATCTACCAGCGCACCCAAAAGCCGCAAACAGCTTCGTCCATTCCTCTCTTCTGTGGTGGAACACAGAGAGAAACAGCCAAACAGAAGATAGTTGAAAGGAAAGATTAAAGTCATTTTCCTTGAGTTATCAACACATTAAAAAAAAATAAAATGTTTTTTTGAAGTCTTCTCAAGGGCAAAGTTTTCTTGGGTCTTTAAATGGAAAGTTGGCATAAATGCACGAGTACTAAGATGGATGGAAGGAACAAAAGTATAACATGGGATGGTGGAGAGGAGCCATTTCCACTTTCGAGTTTAACGATGTAAGTGTCTCTCCCTATCATGAGTTCATCATATGCACAATTCCGCATGCTATGGTAGGCTTGCTAGCCGCCCTTGTCCGTCTTCTAGACGCCTGCCTCTCATTCTGTCTTTTGAGTCCATTCTTGAACTAGTTGTCACATTTGAAAAGCAGACCTGGCGACATTAGCACTCTGAGATCATAAAAATACATTTATAGCAAGTTCTTTTTCCCCTAATAAATACTGGATGAGGGAACGAATTAAAGCTGGACTGATAGTTCCTTGACTCTAGCAGTGTATTGCAGAACAAGAGAGCGTGTTCTCCCAGAATACTGATAATCGTTTCTATTCTACCCATCATAACATAGCTTTAGCTTTATCTGTTTCTGGCTTTCTGACTGATTTTAAAGCATTAAGTTTAATGAAGTGGGAGGGAACCACAAGAGGAAAGAGACATTTGTGTCATTGTGTTATTATATGCACATAAAAACAAAGTTTTTTCTTTTTGGGTCGCGAATTTTTATTGGCACTCTCTATACTATTGATTTTACGGCGCATACACAGGTACTTCTACCCGTGAATCTTATCCAATTGCCTGTCAGTGAAGCATTAGGTAAAATGAGAAAAAGCGGAATGAGATTAAATTCATGGGTTGGGTTATTTTTGTCCGTGGCACTAACGAGAAAAATACTGGAGGAAAAGCTTTTTTTTTTGTTTTTGTTTTTGGGGGGGGGGGGGGGTGGGTTTGGAGCAAACATTGATAGTCTCTCAGAGGAAATGCAATTTGAAGGAGGAAGAAGCACAAGAAAAAGCCAGTTTTAGGTCAGATTCTTTTGTCACGTCGAATTTCATGAATAAATCAAACCAGCTGATCACTTGATGGTATACTTCTTGTTTTGATTACTTTCCAACATTAACTGAGTACAGTTTTCCATGGAGGGTAGAGGCATTAACCGCCCTGTTACAGTATTAATTTTTGGTCTTAGCAATTCACACAGACACTCAAACGCCGCGATGAAGTAAACATTGGTAAATAAGAGTTTCGATGTAATGAACGTCGGAAAGAATGTACTACCTCCTTCTTCCTTTTGGATTTAAAGGGAAATTTTTTCTGTCAAGAAGTCAATTGACTCTTACTGACTCAACAAACCTAAACCCCAGAGATTGAGTGTCTTAAAAGGAGAAAGTCGCAAAAGAGAGGACATCCCTCTGTGTCGAAAAAAAAAAAAGAGGACTCATTAGTCGGAATAACAACTTCACGTTTACCTAATTAATTGGATTCCGAACCTCTCACAAGTTTCATTCTACTCCACGGTGGGATAAATTAATATTTTCAAAATTGTTACATCATTTTCCAACTTAATTGCATCACATTTAAACTTTTGTCACACCATTTTCAACTCGATTACTCCGAAGGACAAACTTGTAGGAAATGAAACCTGTGAGACCCCATCTACTAATTAATATCCTTACCGGCTTCAAAAACCTAGGAAAAGAAACTGTTAATTTAGTGTAGAATAGGGCCTTGGTAATACTGCCCATTGGGCCAGATCAAAATTTGATGTTTAGGGCCAATGCATCTCACAAATTGGGCTATGTTTAAGTTTATTGGACCGAACCCAAACACAAAATGGGTTGTAATAGGGTTTCCAACTTTCAAGCCTGAACCAATTGGGTTGACTTTGCCGCTGGAAAGTCTTTCCATTAATAAATTAAATAAAAAAAAGGTTGCTATTGGGCGCGCTGCGAGTTGAATGATAGTCTTTTTTTTGGGAAACAAAAAAAGAAACTCTCCCTGTCCCGAGAAGTAAATTAACCATTATTGACTATTTTGATTTACATTATTCGTTCCTATCCAAACAATAATGTCCTCTTCTTTGAAATAAATTTATCAGAAACCCTCTGCGTTTTCTTAGAATTTGTTTCAGCCATCAAATATTATGCTGTCCCGTTCAAGTTTAAGAAAGAAAAAGATGTGATTTAGGCTCCAAGAAGGGCACCCGTGTGGAGCACATAGCTTACAAATCCGGACAATATCATTTGCTTCTACGATTTCTAACCAGGAAATTACATTATCAAGACAGAGCAAGAATTAAAAAATATATATAGGGAAATTGAAAAGTACCATTTAGCCCT